AGCACGCGCGCGGGCCTCGCCTGGCCCGAGACCCGCGGAATTCCCCCGCTGAGATGGGAAGGCAAAAGCCTAGAGACAGGAAGAGAGCCCTGAAGCCGACCAGCAGGGTCCTCGGGGAGCGGTGGTGCGCTGGGCCGGGCGGGCAGGGGACAGGGTCGGGGCTCACCCCAGCCGAAGAGCAGGTAGCCGCGGAAGTGGCCCCCCTCGGAGCCTCCCACGAGCTCCAGGAGGCTGTGCAGGTAGATGCCCTCCACCAGCAGCCAGGTGTAGTTGGCGCCCACGCAGTACTGGGTCACGATCTGGGCCGTTCTGCAGGGGGCTAGAGCCTGGAGGGTGGCCAGACAGGGGGAGGGGGCCGTCAGGGCGCGGGGGGACCCCAAGCTTTCCTCCAGCTGCTCGTCCTTTCGCCCCCATCTCTTGTCATCAAATAGTCTCCCGCTCTGTATCACGGACGGGCGGTACCCGTGCTTGGTGTCTCTCGCCCGATATGAACTCTCCCACTCCAACCGCTTAAACAACTGGTATCTTCCATCTCACTATCAAACTCCCCCCACCCCCAAAATGCCCCCAAACATGGCTCCTCCCACCCCATCTCCTGAGAACTGTGCTCAGCTACTCCACCTCTCCAAAAGTTTCTCCCATCTCGCCACTCCTCTCCCGCCAGCGCGGCCCCGCCCGCCCCCAGGCTTCTTAACAATGGGCACGGCCCAAGCTGCTACCAGGTAGCTTTTCTCCCCCCTGTTCTCAGCCTCAGGCCTCTCTCACCTTGTTCCTCAGTAACAAACGGGGATCTACCACATCCTCCCACCAGCTGGTTCCCCCAATCTGTCTCCTCCTCACCTCCAGCAGAAGTCTCTCTCAGGGGTGGGAAAGGCCAGTGGTTGGTAATATAATAGAGAGAATGGAAAATTCCAATGAAGGAGATAGGGGAGTCAACAATGAAGGCGGCTGAGTTGGGAGTCCCGCTCCCAAAGCATTCGGCGTGGTCAAGAGAGAGGAAAACTGTCGCTAGTGTAGTGGGTCGTGGGTAGCTTGGGAACCTCCTGCCCATCAGAGGAGGCGGAACCCCAGTTTGAGAGGAAGAGGGGCGATGCTCACCTGGTCCCACAGGATAGGGGCCTGGTCCCCGGGTGCAGGGCTGGGTGGAGGTAGCAGCCGGTCTCGGGTGAGGATGGCTGCTGCCCGGAGCATGAAAGACGTGAACAGGTTGATGTGAATGTAGTTGCGCGTGCAGTGCAGCCGCCTGGGGATTGGGGAGGCAGTGGGGACCCATGGAGACCTGTCCGTGGCCTCATGGAGCCCCTTGAACCACCTCCCAGCCCTTCTTCTCACAGAACCGCCATTGGGTGCCTGTTGCTGGTGGAGCCTGACCCCCCATCTTAGTGGGCAAACTGAGGCCCAGTCTCTGCCACTCACAGTTGGGGGGTCCCACCTGAAGAAACTCAAGATGAGCAGGGCCAGCAGCAGCGCGGCCAGGGACAGGGAGTAGCCCACGGTGTACACGACCTGTAGCCGCTCGAAGATCAGCATTTGGTTCTGGGGGGTACAGGGAAGGGCACAGGAACAGAGCTCAGCTCTTCCCCCAGGGCCAGACAGGGGCTGGACAGACATCGATCTGCTCCTTGTTCCTGCCAAGCACCCCAATTTTCTCTTGGGGATCCAACTTCCCTTATTTCAATGGGGCTATCTCCACCCCTCTGCTCCAGACTGGACATGTGACCAGCCAATCAGAGCATTCTAACCCTTCCCCCCGCCCACACACACACAGTGATTAGCCCAGGGTGGGCATATGACCCAAATCAGGGCAGTAAGAGTCAATCCTGAAAGTTTGGGGGTGCGAGGGTTGGCTGAGGCTACAAGGAGCTGCGAGGGCCGAGCCCCTTGCACGAATTTTGTGCATCGGGCCACTAGTATAAAATAATATTGAATGACAATGTAATTGAAAAATAAAAATTTTAGCCCTAGCTGGTTTGGCTCAGTGGATAGAGCATTGGCCTGGGGACTGAAGGGTCCTGGGTTCGATTCCAGGCAAAGTCACATGCCTGGGTTGTGGGCTTGATCCCTAGTCCGGGGCGTGCAGGAGGCAGCCAATCAATGGTTCTCTCTCATCATTTCTCTCTCTCTCTCTCTCTCCCTTCCTTTCGGAAATCAACAAAAATACATTTTTTAAAAGGAAAAAGACAAATTTTAAAAAGAGTCAGTCCTGTGACATTATGCTGGAACTATTGAGAACAAAGCTCAATCTCCCCACAGTGTTGCTTGGTTGGTGGGATGTGAGCCTGGTGCTAATGGAGAAGACAAACCTGTTCCACCCCACAGAGAAGATGAGACCAGCACAGAGAAAAACACAGGCACACGATGGCGAGCAACAGAGAGATCCTCAACATTATTCGAACACCTAGATCCAGCTGTGCCTGAAGATGTGCATGGCCGAATATGTTTCAGTCACAGAAATAAAGACTTTTTTTTTTCTGCATCAAGCACCTTTACTTGGAATTTCTATCACTTGGAACCCAGAGCCCTGAACAGTACAAGGGATTTCAGGCTCAGTCTGAGGCTGCTGCCTTTTCACCTCTCCCTAGACATCCAATCTGAGTCCTTCACCTCTTCTTACCTGATAGGTCCCATTCTCCTCTGGGTTCTCACACTGAGAATGGTCTCTCCAAGGTCCCCAATGGCCATCACTGCCACACTGGCGGAGGACAAAGCCTGCAGCCACTGGGGGGAATCGAGGGAGGGGATTAGAGGCAGAGAAAGAGATGGAGACAGAGAGACCAACTGGGAGGAAAGGCAGAGAGAGAGAGCCAATGTGATGAAGATGAGGATGATGGTGATGATGAGGTGATGATGCTGAGCTCTTCTATGGAATTTTACACGTATTAATTTAATATTCATAAGACACCTATGAAGCTGGTGCTATCATCAATCCCATTTTACAGATGGGGAGGTTGAGGTATAAAGACATGAAATAAACTGCCCTGGACCACATGGCTAGTTAGGACAGGAAGACCAGGATGCCCAGAGACAGACTCAGATAAAGGAGAGAAAACAAGAACCCCTAGTCCTAAGAGAGAGACAGCCAGAGAAGGGGCATTATGTGACAGAGCGGGATCAGGGTGACCCAGCCCGGGTTGGACAGTCAGAGGAGACACCCAGCTGGACAGAGAGGAGCAGGACATGGGGTGTAGGTGAGTTTGGGGGAAGTGGTGTCTGGGGCAAGGGTTAGGAGCTGTTTGTGTCCAGAAAGTCCCACAGTCCAGGGGGGCACCTCACCGTGACGGTGCCAGGGCAGGTACCAGGGGCAGGAAGCACGGGCAGTGGTGTTGGGTGCAGCGTAGTCCCAGCAGACGTACATATCGAAGGACCCATTACAGGCGAGGCCTGGAGTGGCATAGGGGCAGATGTCCGGTGGATGGACTGCACCCTCTGCCCAAAGCCCTCCTCCTCACACCTACAAGCCCTGCCCTAGGCCCACCCACCAGGAGTGGTCCAACCCTGCAGCGCCACAGCCCCGCCCGTCAGACCCCAAGGCCCGCCTATCCTCCAAGTTCCCGCTGCACGAGGTTCCCACTACTTGAGGCCCTTTCTAGGCTCCACCCAAGCCCCGCCCCTTTCTGGACCGTTCAGGCCCCGCCCACCAAGTACAGCCCCGCCCCGTTCTGTTCATCCAGGCCCCGCCCACCCAGTACAGTTTTTTTCACCCCCCCCCAAGACCCCGCCCATTCCAAGCTTCTTCCCAGACTTGTCCCATTAATCCGAGTGCATCCCACTCGGATCCAGGCCCTTCCCGCCGAGGCCACGCCCACATCTACCCCGACAACTCCTTCAGGCCCAGCGCCTGGTCCCAGCCCACCCCGCTCAACCGCAGCCCTTACCGTCCTCCCAGCCCACCCCTCCTGGGGGGCCCAGCCCGCCTGCTCCCCAGTCGC